AAGCAAACATCATTCTAAGGTTGGCTTCAAACACACAATTTGAAGTCCTTACTGCCTGTCCCCCTTCTGCCCCACAGGGCAATACAAGCAATTCTAACTCAGGAAGCAAAGCACAGTATGTAAGAATTCTTTAATAATAATAAAAGCACATGATAAAGAGCTCTAATTTGCCATTCCTTCAGGTATTTATGCTGCTTCAGCCATTCAATCCGTCCAAAGTAAGGCCATGACAAATTCTACAGAGGGAAGATAATTGTTTCCAATCATAGATAATTTAGAGTTTTTTCAAATAATGTCATAACCAGCTTATCAGGCATCTTGACCTTGGAATCAACTGGAACATACTGCCCTGATTTAAACACTCAGCAATTTCTCTAGTGACAGCAACAGGCTTCACCTTGCACATCTGCCCTACTGTCATCTTCCCCAACTCTTGCTTTCATTCCAGATCCAAACTTCAGCACACTCTGTGGCCCCCCTGTTCTGTTCTGAGCCTGAACAGGCAGCAACTGGTTTGGATTAACCTGAAGCAGAGCAGAGGCAGCTCCCTGCTAGTCACAGTTCCCCAACAGACATGTCTGCTGGAGCTCTGCTGCAGCTTGCCACAAGTCACACAACATCCCAGCACAAGGCAGACTTTATACATGGTTTTATATCATTCCTCCTAATATTTTACATTATTCTTCACGAAGCCTACCTAGCTGTACTTTGAGGAGATTATACTGGTCCTTATGCTGTTGGATCTGGGACACTTGCTGTGTGACAGTTGCCTGGAGCTGTTCATTCTGAGATGTTAAAGTGTTGATTCGTTGCTTTAGTTCTTCAAGCTCCTGGTCCTGTGAAAGGGAAAAAAGAGCACTTAGAACTAATAACACTTCTGAAAACAATCCTGTCAGGAAGGTGAATAAAGGCAAAAAAACCTTAACAGGACCTGCACTTCAGTCCACTTCAAGAATCTTTAAAGAAGTCACAGCAACTGCAGACATCCTATGTTCACTAAAGCTTCACTGATGGTTCAGAAGTGCCCCTGAGTTCCACATGTCCCCTAGACCCTCATCCCTAAACTCAACACCTGCTTTCAGTTCATTACCTTTGTTCCTCTACTTGCTGCAGCAACCACACAATTGAACTACCACTGGAAAAAAGGCTTTGAGAGTCCACCCATAGTAGGTATAATACTCAAACTACACCAACAAACCACTTCTTCCTTCAGCCCCATTTCATCTGTCCCCTTTCCAAAGGTGAGAGCACAGAATTAAGAACTGCATCTCTGAGGGGGATGCAAGTTCTCCAGTTCCTCATTTGAGAAGAAACGCTCCAACAAAAACAGATGCCCCTCAAGAAAAAAAGAAAATTAGCTTATCCAGTGTCCTAAACACTGACATTTCAGTTAAACCTAGGCAGAAGTGTTTCTACAAGTGTTTCTGCATTGCAAGATTCCTTGTCACTTGTTTTGGAACGGGGTATCAAACTGCACTGCAGTGCCTCTGGAAGACAAAACAAAGAGCTTGTAAAGGCACATGTACAGGGTAATGTCCTCTTACCTGCTCCCTAATGACTTTTTTGTAGTGAGTCACAATGTTGTCATGCTGTTCCAGTGTCTTCTTGACCTCCTCCTCCTTTTTATCCTCCTCGCTGGACTTGTAAATAGCTTTACTTATAACACCTGTCAAAAACAGTCTTTGTCAATTAGAGCCCAGTTCAATTTTTTTGGTCTTCAAGAGAGTCCCAAAACCTCACAGTCTGAGTTCATGGCTTGATAAACTCAACCTGCACATTAAAAAAAAGCAAAGGTTTAATAGCAAGTGGTGATTTCTTTATTGCAGGGTTTGCACACTTACTGCTTTACTTGGTTTCAGAGACAAGTAAATGCGTGCTTTGAGTCTGTCCTATCAGAAAAGTTGTGTTTTACTTGCACTATGTCTGCACTATAACTGCAGCCCAAGTGGTTGGACAATAAGTGCAAGCCTCTGAACTACAGTGGCAAAAGGCAGATCAAACTGCTTGGGCAAACCCATATTTACAGTTGCTGCTTTAAGGCTTTTTCCTTCTCTAGTCTGAGGTGTAAGTATTATATTAATAAACAGGACACCAGTTACATGTTAAGAACCATGACAACCTGTCTATTCTGTGAGGGACAGAAAAGACTAAAGCAAGTGTCCATCATGTCCTAGAAAGCCAGGAAATTCAGCATTAAGTTTTCTTAATTAAACAGTTGGAAACAGCCAACATTTGGATTGTGTACTTCCACAAATCAAGCCTTTATGATCATCACATGTGCTCAGTACTTGAGTTTCCGTGTCAGCACAGGTAAACAGCTCCTGGCCAGTGTGGTAACTCCCAGAATCTATTAAGAATTTAAGAATCATTTCTTCTAAGAACATCAAGTAATCCAGTTCAAGTATTTTTACTAAACACTAAGTGCAAGCTCAAGTATATGATGACTTCCAGCTGTTCCTGTAGCCTTGTCATGTCATCACACTACTTTAAGATAGTTACATTCAGCACATTTGGTAGCCACCAGCTCATCATAAACTAGAGAAACGAGTGCAACATCTCACCTTCCAATTCCTTTACCAGCTTGGTGAATTCATGGTCAAACATCATGTGGTCTGGGCTAGAGAAACTAGGCTGGGGCTTCTGAGCAGCTCTGGAGTAAAGTTCATGTTTGCTAATGAAGCCAAGCTTCTCAATGAAGTTCTCCCTGCCAATCCTCTTCTCAATCAGCTGCTTCAGCTTCTCTCTAAAAGCAAGAGACAAATCAATCCCAGTGCAACAACTGAGAAGTGAACCCCTCCTTCCCTCATGGCAGGTTTTGCAGTTGCAACTCTTATCTGTCTCAACCCCACTGCCCTGTCCCAGTTAAAAGCCTCTTTAACCACCACCTGCCACTCACAGAACCTTTCCCTAGGGTCCTTTTATTCCTACGTCATACTTACTTCCTATAATTCTCCAGGGAATTGTCATTGTAGTAGATGGAAATGCCAAGCAAAAGTGCACACAGGCCTTGGACGAGCTGCTCCTCTTCTCCCAGGTTCTCAGCTATCTGCCCTGTGAGCTGGAGCTCTTGTTAAGGATATTGGACATATTTCAGCATCACAGCACATGCAATGAGTTTCTCCCTGTACACATTCCCATTTATTTTCACATGTAAAACCAAGCTTGATTAAGAATTAGACAGAAGAGCTGGTAAAACCCTTGCCAAGTTAACTCCTGTTTTGAAGGACTTGGGTAATCAGTGGTTCCCCTGGAAGTTCTCAGTAAGTGTTTAACCCAGGAGATTTAGTTGTTTCAAAACTCAAGACTTGCAGTGTGGATAAGGTGACAGTTTAGCCTTACAGACTTCAGTATTTTTATCCTGAAAAGCAAGCACAGAATTTCTTCTTCAACAGAAGTATGAACACTCTTCCTGCCACTTGAGCATGAGCTTAATTCACAGTAAAATCATCACTGGGCTTGTTGCAGGAACACCCCACTTGGCTGGCCAGCTGTGGTGCTTTTGCACTGCACTGTGGTATGTGCACCCTACAGACAGGGCAGGGTAGGCAGAGCACTGCCAACAAAAGGCTCATTTTGTCTCTTGGCCCACTGCATTTTCTTTCATGTCATGCAGAATCCCTGTAAACTCATCTAGACAAACCTTTGACTTGAAAATGAAGAATCCAGGTCATGTCTAGGCAAGGGGTTCTATCCACAAGCAGGTCAAGGATACAAAAGGTACATTGGCTGGGTTGTGAAGGAAGTGGGTGACAGCAATGGAGCAGTTGCTCAGCCAAGTGCAAAGCAACATCAGTAGTCCAACCCTGGTCTGCACTTTGCTGCCCTGCAAAGAATAAAACTTCCCATCATCACCTTTACACAGTGCATGACTTAAAAAAAAAAAAAAAAAAGCTGTACTCCATCACAACTCACCTACTTCCACCTCATCATTTTAAAATCAAGTCATGTCTTTAAAAACCACCCATTCTTTAGCTATTCTGGCAACAGCTTTAGTGCTTGGATCAAACAGAGATTAAACCATTCATATTGAACTGTCTTCAGAGCACACCAGCAAGCAACACATATGTGAAAAATGATTCAAGGCAAGTTAGCACCAATATAAAGTCATAACACATTAGTTCTGCATTTGTAATTAAAACAAGGTGACACAAAGGAACATACACACAATGCCTGTAAAGAAGGAACAAGGTGTACATGTAGTCAGGTAAGGATTCCCTGGAAGAGATGCATCACCAAGACTTGCCCTGCTGACTAAAAACTGCCAAGTGTTCCTATTATTTTCTAGGTCAAAGAAAGATAATGCTGGAGTGGTTTTCAGTTCAGACAGGAATGCTAACTGCAGTCCTTTATTTTTGTCCACTTGAGAAAATTCGGTTTTGTCTCCAAATTGACTACTTCTGTCTCTGCTGCAGGGTTTTGGGCCCAGCTGTGCTAAAACAGGCATCCATCTCTTCCAACAGTCAACAGTCAGATGGAAGCAAAAGAGCTCCCTCACTTCCATTTCCAAATACTGGCTATAATTGGCCCAGCACTATTAACCAGTCCCTACTGGGAATAACCCCTGGAACTGGCAGTGTTGCCCTACAGCACGTGGGCACACCTCAAGCTTCTTGAGAACACTGGCACACACCCTTAACTCAGAAACATGGAACTACTTTTGTTTACATGGAATTACTATGTGCAGCACTTAGCACAAACAATTTATGCTGGAAGCAGCTGCAAACCACATTTATTCTCATGCACTGCTTCCTCTTCTGAGGTCAAATTGATGTGCTCTGCCTAAGGATTTTCACACAGTGCCAAACACCCTCTATAAACAACAGCTATTTTCTAGGCACACCGTGGTAACACCCACTCAGAGATGACAGTGCTCCATGGCTGCTGTTCTACAGTTCAGGCTTGGGAACAACACAACCCCAACCCCTCAGGACAGCTGTGATCAACAGAGTAAATTAAACTATTCTACAGCAGCAATAATTTTTTTGTGCTTCAATTAACAGCCTGGAAGTCAAACAACTCTTCAGGGGTCATTTGCTCAGAACGAGAACCCAGCTATTCAGGACCAGTAGAGCCAAGGTTAAAGTAACTGCTGGTAAGTAGAACACACCCCACGTCTGGAAGGCAGGTTAAACAGTTTTTCCTTCAGCAGCCAGGACACCAGCAGCATGTTCCCACTTCAGATGGTCCCAGCTGTTTGCTACAGGCCAGTCAGCAAACAGCGTTTCCAACAGTTTTAGTTTTCCTTACAAGAAAGCACATCTGTTACATGAACAGATGGCCCGTGAGTCCACCCCACTGCAAAAGAAGCACCCGTGCTGCCCTGTATGCCACAGTTCTGTGGAGCACCCCCGGAGAATCCCCTGGAGACACAAGGAGTTTGTTATGCCAGGGGAAACCCAAACCCACTGCAACACAAAGCTGTAAGTGGAAACACAAAAAAAAGCAGTTAAAGAAAACCTCCCCAGCAAACCCCAGACAAGAGGGAAAGGCCTGCTTTTGGCAAGAAAATGCCCAAGCTGTGCCAAAAAATACATACCCGTCTGTCGATCTTATCACCCTGCAAGTTACACACACATTACTGGAGAACCTTCAAGTGGAACACAGTTCAGACACATCCCCCCCAGTCTGAGTCTCTTCTATTATTTAGGACTGAAGAGCCTAAAGCAGTTTTACTGACTCAGATTTACCATACGCAAAAACACCAGGAAGAAGATAAAAATGAGTACTGGCTCTTTTCAGCTACAGCAGCTGAAAGAAGTCACATGAAGGAATTCAAAATTCCAGCCATTATTTGCACTCGCAGGAAAAGTCTAATTACCACCAGAATAACTAGCTCCTTACTATTCCACATGCTTTTTTCCCCCCAGGCGGTTATAACAGAGGGGAATGTCACAAGGAGGTTTGGGCTAGAAGGGGAACTTCACTCACTGGCCATTTGCCAGGCCAGGTATTAAGATGCTGAACAAGTTCAAAGAAAGCTTTTAGCCTTTCATAGCAAAGCCAACAATCAATACATGAGAGCCTGCTGTTTTCATGATGTTTCTGGTTAGCAGGCCCAGGTTAAACACCAAACAGGCACTTCTTGAGCACAAAAACATCATCACTGGGGATCCTGCCAGTTGGCCTTATCTGTTAAGTCAAGTTTTGGGGCTGGATACTTCAGGGCACCTGAGAGCAGGCAGCCATGTGATGAAAAAGCAAGATTTGCTGCTATTCTCCCTGTGAAGCACAGAGTGCTTTAAGCAGAGCTTAAAAATCATCTGCAAAAGCCAACCCTCCTCATTACATCACCCATGTCCCCGCAATGCCCCTGCCCAGGAGCTGCATTCCCCAGGACACCCAGAGCTGTATCCCAAGGGTGCAGGCACAGCCGTACCTGGGAGAGGATGTTGGTGCACTGCTGCAGCAGGGACACGGGTGGGTTGCCAATGCTGGTTGCCAGCTGGACCCGCAGCAGCTGCTCTTTGAGAGTGGCATTCTCCTGCAGGGCATGGGCCAGGGCCACGGCAGCACACCAGTTGGACAGGGAATCCGTGGAGAAGAGGCCCCCGCAGAGCAGCTGACCCGCCGAGACAGAGTTACCTGTAGCTACCAGAGAGGCCAAGAGATTAAAACAAGCCACAAAACCAGCCAGGTATTTAGGACAGCACAGACTTTAACTGCAGGAAGAAAACAAACAAACAAACAAACAAACAAGTGAGGTTTTAGAGCAATTCTAAGCCAAGCTGCCTTGCCTGGATTAGACACTGAACAGCAGGTACTGACTCCCCCCAGGACAGCAGCTGGTGCATTAGCACAGTGCCAGCTCAGGGCTCCCTGCAGCCATGTGGGCCTGCCCTACCGTCAATGGTGGATGGCAGGAGCGTGGACACAATCTCTCCTTGGCCTTTTTGGTTTTTGTAGAGGAAGCACTGGAAGCAGTAGAGAACAGCACAGCGTAGCACAAAGGGCTGCCTCTCGTTCACCATGGACATCAGCAGGACTACAATGGCAGGCCTGTAGGAAAAGGAAGGGAAAGCCATGAGAACAAAGCTGTGAATGCAGACAACCACAGCTACAATTTGAAGGGTGTTATACAGGTAAGGAAAGATATCTTGGCCTACCACTGCATCTATAGCCATTTTAAACAACACCTTTAAAATACCAGGTGTTACTCAAGTTTTTCATTTACTTAAAACAGAACAGCAGATGGATTATCTATCTTCCTTGCCTCCAAATGCTCTTGTTGACTGTCCTCTGGCTGACAGGGGCAGCTGATCCAATCCAGGAATTTCTCTGCTATTGCTCCTTCAGTTTTCAGGTGCCACCAAACATGAATTCTAGGCCTCATCTCTGTACAAACACACCTGACACCTTCGTGCTGTACCCAATACACCCCACATGAACTTCAAGGTGTTGCTCCAGAGCCTAATTCCAGCTCTGAATTTAAACAGTCCTTTGCATTAGACTGTCATGGCCCATACCAATACACTACTACCAGAGTTAAACGCTTTTCTTCCCCTACCTCGGTGGATTAGAAGGTGCATTTACAGAGGCAAAGTAGTCTTGATTGGTCTGGCATCCTCGGATGACCTCTGATACAGTATTAATGGTCTAGGGAAAGGGCAGAGAGAAAAGTTAAAGAGAAATGGAAGTGTGAGCCATAATCTACCACCTAGATCACTTCAAGTTGTTCAGTCTGACCCTGACAGCTCAGTATGTAAAGGCACACACCAAGCCTCGGCACAGATCAGTTCGGTAAAACCACTGCACATGAAATCAAAGCATTTAGGAGCTGTGAAACACTGACCTAAGGTTAAGGGACAAAGAGCTCAGGTGGCTCTACCACACCCAGTCACCTCCAACTTCATTTTCTCTGCCAGATCAGTTTTGCTGCGCCAGCCACTTAAACTGGACACTTTTTTAAAAAGTGAAAAGGTAAAACCTTTTATGAAACAAAAAACTGCAACAGAGTAACCAGCCCACACTCAATCCACTGCTGACAGGGCTGTCTAGAACCTACAATTCCTCATCATTGGAAGCCTGCCAAAAAGAACACTTGAAGACTCTCACAAAAGAGAAACAATAAAAAAACCCACCCCCAAACCAGGAAAACAGAGATCAATTCAGCTGCTCTGGGATATGCTGAAATCCAGCAGAAAAAGTAAGCAAATCCAAATCCTTTCTGCTTGCAGAACACAAAGTAAGTGACTCTCCCATTTGTGCTGCCCACAGAGGAAGCTGATATGTCTGGCATCTGAAGTACTTGCTTAGCAAATATTCAGTTTGTCTCTGCAGCAACTGGTTCTCCCTGTAGACTGCTGTTACCACCCCTCTGGTTGCTTCCATCCCTACATCCATTTGCCCCTCTTACCTCTGTCAGGATGTCGGCAGGAACCCCAGTTGCCATGAGGATTGTGCAGAGCTGCTGTAACAGCCCGCAGTGGAACATGGCCTTCTGACAGCTGCTCGTGGCACCAGGAGGGTTGGTGGGAGACACCAGCACCCGCACAAGCTGGAAAAAAGGGAAACATTCCCACGTGAGGAGAGCCCAAGACATTCTGAAACGCAAAACCAAGCTCATTTGAGGTTGACCATGAAATAGAATTGCTCCTCAGAACGGAGACTGGAGAAAAACAGAATGTTCATCTCATTGCTACCTATGGTGGCTTCATTTTGAGTTCCATACAGGGGGATTCTTTACACAGAACATCCCTGATTATGTTTTCATCTTAACTCACTGCTGCAGCTCAGGTTACATGAAGCTGTGTGATGTACCAGCCATTACAGGTCCACCTTTGGCAGTGTTGGTGCTGAAAGCAGCACAGCTCATGAGCATTGGCAGCTAGTTCTGAGCTAAAGGGAACACGAGTCTCACAGTTGTGACATGACACTTCACCACAAGGGAGCTGACAAAGTGCTGGCATTGGTGCTTAGGAGTTAGGGGAAGGGTTTTACCTGCAGCATTAGGTGAAGATTAGTTACTTTCTGTGCAGACCACCCACAGTTGTCATCTCCCACCTCAAACCAAGGCTTCATACGCTGAATGTAGGAACCTTCTTTGAAGAAGTTCTGATTGGAATTATTATTCTTCAGCAAGTTTTGTAAGAGGAGGAGACAGTCTTCCACCACTATTCCTGATGAGAGAAAAAAAATAAAAATCAAAGTACAAGTGAAAAGGTGGAAGCAAACTAGTTTCCCTTTGCAGGCAGGATGTGTTGGGTAGAACAGAGCACACACTTCTGAGCTCTTCATTCTGAACACACATTACACTTGGATCAAGAACTGGGAACCTCACAAACTAAGAAAGTAATCCAAGGACACTCTAAATTAAACACATTGATGTTGATCCAGCATATTCTCAAGGAAATCATAGTTGTTTTTCTTCCACAAGTCCAGGGCAAGTTTCCAAAGCATATACAGCTCATTAGTCAAGTGGGTAGGAATGGCAAAGACCTAAACCAAAACTTCACCATCACTCTGTGTCCTGAAGTTGACCTACTTGAGTGTCAGACTACACTGTCTCTATCATATGCACTCAAATGAAGTTCCTCCTGAACTGCATTGTGGTTCCAAGGCAGCAGTTTCTTCCTGGGTTACACATTTGTTCTCTTCAATCACTGGCTACATCTTCAACTCATTTCAAAGCTACTTTCTAGTTCGTGTTATCCTCAGATAGAGGTTCCTCCTATCAGAGGAACAGATATGTAGGGGGGGAAGCAAACAAGTTTTAGCACTTAGGAATTTACATACCAAGTCTCCTAAAATTATTAGCTGCCTAAAAATAGCAGCTTTAAATCAAAGGTTTGCTTAATATTTCCATGCCAACATACCTGGAATAACTGAGCTGGAAGAGAAGCATTAGCTGCTCCTGCAGCCCACAAAAAGGTCATCAACAGCAGCCTGTCATGTTACTGAAATAGATTGTGTAGTAAACTACAACTGATGGTAAACTCATTGTGTGTTGCTAGTAAAAAAAGAGCTCCAAAGTGCTGCACTATTTTTGCTCATATTTTTTAATCCTTTATCCCAACAGGCAAGGAGCTGACCAGAAAACTGAAGTTATCAGAGCAGCTGAAGGAACTCAGCAAGCTGTTACCTCCAGCCACTCCAAGTATCCAAGTATCTCACAGGAGGAATGCAGATGCTTAATTCTGTAAGTGACAAATGCAGCACACACATCTGACACTGCCATTCCAAGCACATACATTCCCAGGCCTAAGCCAGGCAAGAACACACTAACTCACTCACACGTGCTCAGAGAGGTTGGCTGATGTTTTAACTGTCACTTTTCAGGAGACACTGAAGCCCTGCTACTTGGTCCATCTGGTTTTGCTTGGTTTGTTACAACCAGTGTAAGTTTTGCTCCTTCTACCCACTGACCCAGGTCCGATTACCCACTATAGGTAGGGGTAAACCTAATGTAAACATCCCCTAGTAGTTGGTGCAGAAGCACAAGACCAAGTCTTAGACTTTACCTCCATCGCTGTTTCCTTCCTCTGTTATGATATCCAGAAGTCTCTCAAAGGCATTTTCAAAGGCAACAATTTTCTGTATGGCTGCATTACTTTTGGTCAACTGCTGTAACAACAAGACTCCCTTGACAGGAGGGGGAGAGGAAAAATTCAGCTTAGTTTTTCCACAACTCCATTGCTTTTCTCAAGTCACAGCTCTCAGAAGGATGCTGAATGAACAGCATAATCCTCAGCCAGGACCACAAGCCTGGACTTCATGCCCTGCAACTCAGCACATGTCAAACCCCACCATGGACACCAGGCAGTGGTTCCCTCGTGGACAACACCGAGGACGCCAAGTGGCCACACAGAACAGAGGGGTAAGTTCCTTCTGTACTTACATCATTCCGTATAACCTCCCTAGAGTCGGCCAGTAAATCCATCAGTCTGGAAACACCTGCAAGAAACACACTTTTTCAGAAGTAGCATTAAGAGGTGCAGCTTGTTTGTGCTGGGGGTCTTCAAGACCCCTTGCTCAAGACTCCTCTAAGCCCTCTGCCATGTCTGCTGAGCTTCCAGCTCCAAGGTTATCAGCAGTGAATTCAACCACTCACCCATGGGGCTGACAAGAATGATCTGCTGCACTTGGGGGCCTTGCTGCTTTAAAAGAGATGTAAGTAGCTTCACTCCAGGCCAACGGACATGGAAATCAAATTCCTGCAGAGATGGAGAGGAGTACATTAAGGAATCCATCCCTCAGTATTTAACTCAGATACACTGACAGATGCTTAATACTGCTGAAAGCCTAACATGGCTTCCATGTGGGAAAAGCAAAGGATCATAATGAAGTTGGATTACCAAGGGGAAAAAAAAAAAAAAGTATTTGTGTTGCTCTCTTCAAGCATAATACTTTTAGTTTAGGAACAAAATTTTTTAACAGCTGCAAGTGAAGAGGCAATTCTGGAAGATAAAACCATTGGAAAATGAGTTAAACATACCATGCTGCAGGAAAGCAGTCACCCTTTCCACTTGAATTGCATCTCAGACACTACTGTCTCATGATCATTTAATTATCTCAAAAATTATCCTTGCACAAGTCACAGCTGCTGCTGTTTGGGGAGCAATAATTCTTATTGTTTCTAATCAAGTATCTAAAACCCTTTCCCAAGTAACAGGATGAAAGGAAATGGCCTCAAGGTGCACCAGGGGAGGTTTCGATTATTAGGTATTAGGGAAAATTTCACCACTGAAAAGGTGGTGAAGCATTGAACAGCTGCCCAGGGCTGTGGTGGAGTCACCACCCCTGGAAGTGCTCAGAAACACGTGGATGTGGCACTCTGGGACACAGTTTAGCAGTGAACGTGGTGGTGCTGGGTTAACAGTTGACTCCACGATCTCAGAGGTTTCTCCAACCTCGAAGATGCTGTGATTCTACTCAATGTTACCCTGCTTTAAAAGCTGCACTAATGGTGTTCATCCAGGTCAGTCCTGAGTCCCCTCCAACCCCACAGTCACTAGATGCCAGCACACCTCACACAGGCCTCACTAGGACAAAACCATGGCTCTCTCCAGCCCAGGCACAACACTGTTACTCACCTCTACAAGAGTCAACAGCAGAGTGACATTTTCTTGCTGTTTAATGAAAATCTCTGTGAACTGACTTCCCAAATCATCAACTTGTTTTGCCGAGTTTTCTTCTGTAACAGTAAAAAACAACGTATTACAACACAGTTGGAACAACTTCAGCAGCTGTGATTTTTATTCTTATTAAAATAAGGCCAGGGGTGACCAAAAGACTTTGAGTCACTGGTATAATGTTAATGGAATTATTTTCAGGACAAACACCAAAACAAGCTTTTCACAAAACCAAACCCCTACATTATCGTAAGAGTAACTTTGAAGTCTCAGAGCAGGACATCCCCATGCAGCTCAACCGATGCAGGAGAGCAGCTCCCCACAAGGACCACTCACTGATGTGTGAAAGCAAAGTACACGTCACACCACTGCTGCATGAACACAAAGCAAATGCACAAGTACCCCACAAAGTGACAAAAACATGCAGACAGCATCTCTGCACCACTGCTGTTTTTCTAGGCTGAGTGACAATTTACATAACTGCCCCATAAAGCAATGGCATGTAGGCACTACTGCTTGGCACAGTTAAGGGAATGTCAGCTGAAAAACTTCAGGAAGAGCAACTCTAATCCCAAGGGAAACAGATTTTTTTATAATATAAATTAACAGAACACAAACAGTAAAGCCAATGAATTTCTGACTAAATCTAAGAGTCTTTGGATTTTTCCTCCTACTCAAAGTGCAGGATTTACAGCCTTATCAAGGAGACATAAACCATTAACAACTGAGCAGGTATAAAAAGGATCAAAGACCACACACCATCTCCAAGCTCTGCACTTGCTGGGGGGTATGGCAAAACAAATCTGGTGTCAAGAACATGAATTAAATTCAATAAACCTAATTCAAACTGTTGGCCATGGTGATTCACTGCAAGGTATCAGTAACATCTACTTGCTAAGGATTTCCAGTGCAGCAGAAGTCTTTTGTATGGCCTTCCAGACAGAATAGCTGATCATTTCCCATGTCATACAGCTGCATTTCCCCCTTCAGCAGGCTTAGCAGTACAGAGCTTACAAGAGGGACAGAGAAGCAGCAACACTCTCCTCTGAGTTTCTTGCTGCAAAAACGACGAAACATTACGAAGGAGTGATAGAAGAGAGGACAGACTGTGTGCAAAAATAATAGCAGCCTAGGCATGGAGCACCTAGCACAATAAATCCCATAGTGAGCTCTCTGAAGCTGAGGGTCTTAACAAGTCTGGCACACTCCTGTTTTACATAAATGAAAATAAAAACTCCACAGGAGTTCAGCTTCTGCACTTGCTACTGCAGAGTAAGAGGCAACTCAGTTGGGAATCAACCAGACATGGATTGCACACACTGTAGTTTGCTGCAAGCCAAGGAGAGAAAGCCCCAAACCCTAAACATTTTACTTTTAAAATTAAGTCAAAATATCTCATTTTGACTTTTCCACGAGCTGTGACTGAACATCTTGTCCTTTTCCCAAGCCCAGCTGCAAATAGCAGGTGTTTGAACTCTTGATCCCAACTCTTGTCCTTGCCCAAGTTCCAGGAGGTAAGGCAAAACCTGAGCAGTACCCACAGCTTGCACAGCCTCTTTCAGCTTTGCTGTACTTTATTTACTCTAGTTCAGGATTCTTCTATGAAAGGGCCAAATCACCTTTTTTCTCTCTCAGCTCTTGCTTTTTTCTCTAACTATTTCTTCTGCTACATTTAAAGAAAAGAAGGAGCTGGACAGAAACAGGCAAAGGGAAACTGCATCTTTCACTGACATGGACACACCACAGATCTTGCAATCAGCCTTCTACCCATAACTGCTCTTTGAATCTAGACACTCACAAGGTTCTCAAATAAAAGACAAACTTCCATCTGGTAAAATCAGCTCTTAGCAATTCACCAACAAGCAGCACAGCAAACTAGAATTTAATCCCAAAATAAACAGATGAAGTGCATTTTGATAAAATCAGTTTAAAAAAGAAGGTGGGAAGAATTAGTGGTGACTTGGAGTAGAAGTGAACACTATTTTAACATGCATTGCTTAAAAAAGACACTGTGAAGGATGCTCACATGCAGCTCGTGCATTTGTGTCCAACTTCAGGGTTCCTTGCAAACAAACCCTGTTCACAGATCTCAGCCCATGAAAATCCTACCAGTTCTGGAGCTGCACTCTTTCATGACATCCTTATTAAGAACTGATCATACAATCTGTAGAGATCTGCTGGCATTCAACATGCCAAATCACAGGAGAAATCCAATTGGAAACACTTGAGCTCCAAGGAGTAAGTGTAGAGCAGAAGGCAAAGTGCTTCCCCTGAGCTCCAGTTGGGGTTTTTACAGTGTCCCTTTTAAGTGCCAGCAAGTGTTACTGGTGTGAGTAGCAACTAAGGCTAAAGTGCCATATTCATACAAGTAAAGGTTCTTTTACCTTCAGAGTCATCTGTCAGTGCAGATAAAATAAAAAGAAAGAAGAGACAGGTTTACAAGTTGAACAGCTTTCCACACCACACAACCCATGACAGCATAAGCTCAGGTTTCCCAAACAGCCATCCCAGCTTCCTACAGGAACCCTGACTCCTTTGGCAAGTTCTTATGGAAGGGGCTGAACCAAACCACCCCTTACTCTTAAAGGAGTGGTGATCTCTCACACAACTCCAGTTTGACAATTCTTTGCTCATTTTAAGAGACTGCCAATAACACTCTAGTCCAGTCCATAATCAGAGCCACTACCACAAACACGGATTCACCAGCACTGTAAGACTCTGACCTTGTTCAAAACATCTGTGAATGTTTTGAATGAACATCATCCTTGATGAACAAGGAAAAGAAAGGCAAGTAAGCCAAGCAACTATCTGACAGTTGTTCAGAATAACATTCATAGGCCTTTGAGACCAGCTTTGATGGCCTAGCAAGAAAGTGGCATGGATTTTCACAGCCCAGCTGTACAGTGGCTGCTTGGACATCTTGGGAAGGACTGGCACAATCACTCTGTGAAGTGCCACAGCAGGGCTGAAAAACATCTTCATACTTACATGGTATCACTATCACAGGTACCTGAGATCTTACATCCCAACATCTCTGTTGAATCATCAGATTGTAGTGTCCCATTTGACAGTAAAAGCCAAAATTATCCTTTCACAATAACAAACCATGACTTCATTTTTAACTTACAAAACTAGAAAAAAGCAATTATCCCATTCCAACCTGACTGCTGTTCACAGAACATAGTTTTTAAAATTAATAAGCAAGAGATCAGTGTTATTTTAATGCAAGCTGCATACAAGATTTTTAGCATTGTCCTAACAGCTACACAGTAACAAAGCAAGTCTCAGCATTAGTAAATCACATCTGATGATGATTTGAAGAAGCCCCAAGGAAAGGAGCCCCACAGTTAATACAACTATTACTACTGAGTGCTTACCTTGCTCCTCCTCTTCTAGGTCATTCGATATTACATTGTAGAGAGTGTCCAAGGCATAGCCAATTATTTCAGAATCTGAACTGCAAATGAGAGAACCACTTTTCTTTAATGACTTATTTCCAGCTACTCTTACAAGATTGCTTTTCTGCCCAGGCAGTTCCCTTTGCAGCCTTAGGTTGCTCCCCCAGGCGAGCCTCAGCAGGTCTGGTGACACAAGATGACCACAGGAAGCTTCCCTGTAGGTGTGTCTTATTTCCTGAATCATTCCCTCCAACCTGTTCCTCAAGTGTACCAGGAAAACACTCTGGGAAGGCTTCAGACCATTTCCCAGGAAGTCACCCAAAGAAGCTGCAGACAAGCTTCAGCACCATCCCAGGATGTCAGCCAGAACCCCAGCCAAAGCTTGGAAGAATGCAGGACCAGCTGTGGATTCTTCCAAACAGGCCAGCCTCTCCAGCTACACCCAGTTTTTAAGGGGTTTTGAATTCCAAGCATCCCCATGAAGTTGCAAGGCAGCCTTGCTAACCCCAAAGCATTAGTTCACCTGCTCACACCCAGACCTGCCTCAGGACAGACCTGTTTCTTCTGCATTACCAAGACTGAAGCATCTGTAAACCCTGCACTACAACCAAGACACAGCCAGGAGTCCAGGAGCAGAGTGTAGCCATTTTGCTGCTGCTTGCTTTGTTGCTCTTAAACCAGGAAACAATCAAAGCACAGCTGGTCAAAAACCAAAGGCAAATAAAAGCTAAGATCACAGACAAAGGCACCTCTGGTTGCAAAGACACCTCACAGTACTGGCATGACTTAGCCAAATATCTGAAAAGCACATTGTCAAAAAAGATCTCCTGCTGACTTTAAGTGCTTGCCTGCACTGTGTAAGGCATACCAAGGCATACCAAGTAAGGCTCCACACCAAAGACAGATTTGCATTTTAAGAGGCTGCTAGGCTGGCTCAGAGCAGAGGCCTGAAAAACCACCTCACCTTTTAATCCATGGAAATGGTCTCACCTAGCAGGTATGATCACATCTCCAGCCTGCTCATGTTTTCCCTGTGTTGTGTTAGTTCTTCAATACACTACTACAAAGACTATGCTTTCCTTTTCATTGACTTGAAACAATCCCACATCTAATAACACACAGAAGTTCCCTGGAAACCTAGAAACACCCACCAAGCTGTGGCCTTGCTTTTCCTTTCCATTGTTAAGGAAATCACAGCAGCTACAAAAGAATAACCAAATTTAATGTACATGTTTCTGTAGTTGAAAGAGAACACCACAAAACGAGGACAGCAGTGTCCCACCTCTGCTGTTCACTGCCTTGCTACCATCTGCTGTTCAGCACACACCACATCTCATGGATTGTTCTCTTCAGACTGAAGCTGTCCAGCTTCTCCTCTGGAGTGACAATCAGTCAAGAAATAACACTTCTATTGTCAGGCATCCATAGAAGATGCAGCCCCTGTGCTGGACTGCTGCATGGCACAGGCCACCTTCCCCATCCTGCCTCTGCCATTTGTGACTTGACATGGCATTCAACCCCGATGTCAGGGCAGTGCTCTGAGTTCACAAACCACAGCAGAACCACATGGAAAGGAAGGCACCCATGTATGGGCTGTCCTACACATATATAACTATGGCCTGTGCCTTAGGAAAAACAGCTCTCTTAGGTCCACGCATTAGGTTCCAAGCTCTCTCCAATGTCACACTGAATTTCAAAAATCTTCTAATATACATAGAGACAAAACAGTTAAAGATCAAGTTGGTTTCTCACTCCTATGCCTTCTCTCACACCAACCGTTCAGTGGTACTGGCCTGTTCTACAGTCAATGCCAAGTTTTTTTCAAAATAATCCCTGGTGGGATGTAGCAACATCTAGACAGCTCGTCAGTAGAAGTCCTCTACCACATCCTACTTTATATTACAAAATAAACATATGGCATAAGAACTCTGGTGTGTGTAAGAGTCTGGAAAATGTAAAGCTGACTCAGGCTCCAGGATGGCTGATGCACAGAGCTGGAACACTAGTCCAAGAAGCCAGTTTGCTAAAGAACAAGTTTTAAACACTCAAGCAGGAGACAGAGCTTCAGGCAATCGAAAACTGTTTTAATAAATAGAATGCTGTCTTCCATTTAGGAAATGGTGTATTGCTGTTCCAGGATAAAGGCTGTAACTAATTTGAAACAACAGCCCAAAATCCGAGGACAGAAGTGAGAACAGGACACAAGAAACACCTTCACTTACCAAATTAAACCTTTCGTAATCTTAAACTTCACAGCAACACAGTCAGTGTGCACAGCCAGCATGAGTGACTCACATGAAAACAGTGACATGTGAGAAGACACTTTGAGTCAGCCATTGACTTCTCTTTCCTCATCCCATGCAGCTGCACCGCAAGCAAGTGAACAACAGGTGGAAAAGAGCATTTTCTACTGCTGCAGAAAGCTTTAGGGTGCCTCAGGTGGACACTGGAGAGGTACCAAAGGTCACACACCGAAACAGCAACCACAGCACTGCCCTCTGGCAGCCAACCTGCCTCAGTTCAATGTGCCTGTCACACTGGGCACAGAGGACAGCTGAGCCTGGGAGTCACTTAACCAGTTATTCAGATGAGCTGGCTTGGATTTGTGTTGAAATAATCCTAAACCCCTCTCACCTCTACCATCACTGACAGCAAACAGAGCACCCCAGCACCTTTAGCACCTGCACTGGTCAGCCACAGGGCCTACAATGCTCTCTCAAGTAAGCCAGGGCACACAGCGTCGGGTGGCTGACATGCTGGCAACAGCAAATCAATTTACCAACATCTTGTGGCAGACAGCATTTCTGCAGCTGAAAAACCAAAATAAACATGTATTAAATGCAGCCTGAGTCACAGAAAACATCCACAGGGGCCCAGGATACACAAATTCCCAAGGATCAACTGAAGCCCAAAAAGCACAGAAAAGCCTCAAGTCCCTGCCCTGAGGGGTTCAGCTTGGCATCTCAGCTAGGAGAAGAGTAGAGCCCCACCTCCCTTCTCCAAGTTAAAACCTGCCCTCAGGAGCAGAGAAGCAGATGAAAGCAAGGCTCCTTAACCTAGTTTTTCTGAAGGGCTTCCCCATCATATCAGGGACAGTTACTCCTATAACCTTCCCTTTTGCTGTTTGCACCAGGTCAGACATTCAGTTTTAACTATCCAGGCAGATGAATAACATGGACTCACCTAGACAGCAGCCTCACACCTTCTTCCCAGCTGGCATAACTGGCTGGGCAAGCAAGGCCTCCACCAGCAGCCTTGGGTTGAACACTGAAGGGTTTCATGTCCTACATCCATAAATGGAGCAAGAGGCCTCCTTCCAGACAGACAACTGCTACCTTCCTAACTATCCTTTGTCTTGACATCAAGAGACACACTCCTCCTTCCCATGTATGCACATCTAGGTATTCCACATAAGACCTTAAGGCTGTTTTGTATCAGTTTATCAGCTTAATGGTTCAAACCCAGATAGAAAGACTGTCCCAATCCAAGCACTGCAAACAGGTTCCATGTTACAACCTGTGCCTACTATCAAGTACAGCAATGCAATCAGTTGCAGAGATAGATAACATATTTCAAACACTGGACTCCACAAATACTACAGTCTGGTCCCCAGAGAGCATTCAGACTCATGTCATCTGTCACAGCAGTAGCCCTGGCATCCTGCTCTCCTGTTCACCTGAATCCTTCAGTGTCAGTGCCTGCATTACTACCCAAGGCAGAATTATTCTACCAACTCATTTTCTAACACAGCAGCAAAAGCACACACCTGATGACTTCATTCACTTCCTGTTAATTGTGTCTACTTCACCTTTTGCCCAATAACAGGCTGATTTGGGTTATTTCAAACCCTGTATTAGTTAAATACATGGTCATTTTGGACTCGCCTTCCCACAGCAGTGAAAAGTAACCCCTGAGAAGCATGAAGGCACTTTGGTACTACCTTCACTCTTGAGGTAGTGTTTCTGTCCCTCATCCAAGACCCTGGAATTCTGTCCTTATCCCCTCTGAGTATGCTCTGATAAACTTGATCATCACAAAAAGCCACTGTGACAGGAATTAGTAGAAACACAGCTCCCTCTATGTCTTGTCAGTCCAGAGCACTGATTCCGTATTTGTTGTTTCAGCAGAAGGGGGTCCCGTTCCCAGCCAGAGGAGGCTGCAGCACTCACCGGTCTGTCTGGAGAACGTGGATGAGGTGTTCCATGGCCTGTATGCCGACCTCCAACCGGTATTTCTGTTCGGAGAAAACCAGATTTGTCAGCGGTCGGAGCCCGAACACCGAACAAAGCTTCTTTAGTAGTACATGGCAAAGGTACTTCAAATCCATGCGGCTCCTCGGAAGTTGGCACTTACCTTGGATAACGACTTGAGAGCACGAACGGCGTCCCTCCGGTCATCCAGCAACGTGGACGAAGCCACCCGGTCACAGAGCTTCTGGATCTGGAAAGGTACGTAACACCCGGGCTAAGGCGGCCGGGCAGGACCGCGGGGAGAGCGCCCGACACCCCGTCGGGGCTCCGGCACCGCACGGGAGAGATGCCCCCTTCCCACCCCGCGGCCCCGGGCACACCCCGGGCCTGTCAGCGGGGCCAGCAGCAGCACGGCCGGCGCGGCCCCCCGGCGCTGCCCGGCCCCCCGGCGAGCCCGCTCACCGTGTCGGCGCCCGAGGGCTGCGGGCCGGCGCTGGGGCCGCCCATGACGCCCCGCAAGAAGTTCATGGCGGCTCGGCCCGGCCCGGCCCCGCCGCTCCCGCTCCGCCGCCAACCCCCGCGGAAGCGCCGCCGCGCCTGCGCTGCCACGTGGCGCCGACGCGGCAAGGGCGGGGCGGGACAGCGGGACAGCGCGAACCCCCGCGCACCGGGAACACCGGGAAAACCGGCCCGACCGGCACCTCCGGCCCCAGCCAGCGGCAGCTGCGCTCCAGGAGAGATCCCAGCCCTCGGCGCACTTCCCAGCCTTGTTCGGGATCCGCTGCTTGGCCTGCATTTCTCGTTAAGGAAAAAAAAAACATCCCGAACGGGTGCGAAGAGCAGGGTCAGCTCGCAGAACGTTTTGTTGTGTACTGGCTCCCGGTGACGAACAGATGGGCAGATGCTGGGGGCATCTGTCTGAAAAACAAACCCAGCACACCCCTGTAACCCAGTTCCCTGAGACTTCTCAGGGGTCTGTCCACCCACAACAACCCCAAGACTTGGAATTCAGAAATGGATATGACTTAAGAGTAGCTATCACTTCTCCATTTTAACTACAAGTAGAAAAACACTATTAGGTTTAACCCTAACTCACTCAGAGAGAAACAGAAGCTTACCCAAATAACACTGACAGCTCAGTGTTATTTGAGGCAAGAGCAAAGGCAAGAACACCAAGTAGTTGATTTTCTTTCAGATGCTGACTTTCCCCACATTGGACGCTACCACAGCACTTCCTGGATTCCTGCTGAAGAGCAGCAGCCAAGAACCATCACTCAAAACCCTTCAGGCACTGCATCCACAGACCAGATCCCAGTCTGATGCTGCTCTCCTGATGGTTACTGGTAGGGTTTGGCAGTGTTTGGTTTATTCTACATATCTAATTAAAGCAATTTTAATTCCAAATGCAGTAAATGAGCACAGAAAGCTCCAATTAGGATGATCAGTTCCTAAAACTGGTTAATTTCATTCCAGGGAGAAAGCCCCTCTTACATCACAATTTGAATCAGGAGCTTCAGGGATTTGGTTTTCCCCAATTAAAGAACAAAATCAATACTTTAATCTGAAATATGCAACTGAAAGAGAACATTTACTCTTTTTATATTCTAAAATTAATAGCTTTCTCCTCTATCTGGAGACAAGCACCAAAAATCAATGTATTAGGTTTAAAAAGATGAAACACCACAGCAGTCATTACAAAATTTGTCAAGCACTTACCTTAATTTCTAACTGCACTTCTTGTAGCATCGGGAGATGAAGGTCTGAGCACCTCCAGCCCTTCAGGACCCACTCAGATGTCACAGCAGGCCAGTTTTGCTTTTCCATTGCCTCTGTTTTTCACCTATACAGACACCATCCAGCACAGGACCCCAGAGGGTTTTTATCTTGCTGGGCAACAAAGAAACCTTCAGCCAGGTCTGGTCACCAAGTAACCACGTGCTTTACAGCAACCACAGCTAGTCAGCAGTTGTGCAAGCCACAGCAAGACAACTCCAGCCTGCAGTCACCTCACACCAAAACTAGGCTGGGCATCCCTGGCTCTGCTTTTCCACTTCCCTTCCCAGCAGGGCACCTGGAGCCAGGTCACTCACAACTGCCCCAGTCTGGAAATTCCCAAGATGCTCTTACACTTCATTGTCCAGTAGCAGCAAAATATATGTTTTTTGTTCCTCGAAGAAAACTTAAGTTCCTCTCCTAAATCCAAGGGCTTCAGACACCACTGAGTTAAAAAAGGATCCCCCCACCTTCCCAACGGGGATGGTTGAAGGTACTCCCCTTTCTGGGCCAGTGCACACATCAGCACTCACCTGACACACACAAGTCAGGCATAAGGAGATTCTGCTCCTTACCAAGAAACAAAGAAACAACCAAAGCAAGATTTTTCCACCAAAGAAAATTTATTTGTTTCTAAATATTTCCACCCTTACACGCAGAGCCCATACAAAAGTGAGTTATTTGCAAAAGACATGTTTGACACATTCCAGCTGCCCTCTTGGAGATAAGACAATACAAGGGGCAGCTTTTGCCACGGCGGGAAAAAATTATTTAGTATTTCACCCGCAACCTTGGATTATTTAATATCTGAGCATAACTCAAGGAAATTGCTCTTACAGCGAGAAGCCCTGAACTTCAGCCTGAGCTACGGACAGCGGCACAGCTCTGCACGGACCCGCATGGTATCCCAACACTGACCGCACCCCTCGCTCTGCAGGCGGCTGGAGACCTCCGTCCAAGCGAAACGCAGCTCCGGTCGGGCAGCACCGAGCCGAGGAGGTGTCGGGAGCCAAATTCCCCAGGTAACGCACTGCCGGCCAACTCGTGCCGCGCCCGCCGGGCTCTACGGCGGACAGCGGTGCCTTGACCCCGTAGGAGGACTCGGACCCTCAGGCGTACCTAGAGCAGAAGATCAGTCAAAGCAGGAGCAAAGAGCAAACCGCCCGTTACCGGGCCGCCCGCGCCTCCGGCCGCCGAGAAATACGCGCGCGCGGCTGACGTCACCGCGCGGAGCCGGCGCGGATTGGCGGAAAGCGCCGGGATGCTCCGCCCCCTCCCGTCCCCTCGTGGCCCCGCCCGCGCGCTTGCCCCGCGCAGGCGCGCGCGCTCACGCACGCACGGGACTGCGGCCGCGCGCCCTCCCCCGCCCGGCTGTGACATCGCCGCCGCCGCCGCCGCCGCCGCGCCCCGCCCGCCCCGCGCTACCCCCGCCCGGGACGCGCCGCCGCACCGACACCCTCGCCGCTCCCGGCACCGAGCAGCTCCCGGCGGCGTGCGGGGAAACGCCCCCTGGCCCCGCGCACCGAGACTTCTGTCCCTGAGGTGAGTGAGCGGCGCGGGGGATCGCGGGCAGGGTAGGCCCCGCCGCGGGCTGTGAGAGCTCTGTGTGTGTGTGTGTGTGTGGGGGGGTGATCGCTCAACGGTCGCCGCGCTGAGGGAGCGGCGGGAACGGCGCGCGCCGCGCGGAGGGAGCGGCGGGAACGAGGCTGAGCGAGAGGCGGGAACGGCGCGCGCCGCGCTGAGCGAGCGGCGGGCTCGGGGCTGAGGGCTGAGGGAGCAGCGCCCCCGAGCCCCCCTGTGCCCTGCGCCGCCCGACCCGCCCGCGGGCTCGGCCCCGCTCGGGGCTGGGGGGTGGCGGCTTTTGTTCACCGTCACCTTGGCGGCTCTTCCGCCTCGCCCCGGGCGGCGCGGGGACGCCGGGGAAAGGCGCCCCCAAGCCCGCGGTGCTCGGTGCGGGTTGCGGCGCTGGGCCCTGCGGTCCCTCTCCCGGCTCGTCGCGGGGATCGATCGCCGTGCAGGGCCCTCCGCAGGGATGTGGGCTTCGGCACGGACGGGGCCGCTCCGTCGGCCTCGCTCGGACTGCGGAACCAGCCTTAGCTTCGCGTCCTCGGCTCGGCGGGCCCTCTGTTCTCCTGCAACTTAGGACTGCCATGGCAGCTCTGGCTCCGAGGGCTCCTCCAGCTCTGCAGACCTCACCCTTCTCCGCTTCCCCTTTCCCCACTCATAACCCGGGCTGCCCTGTTTTCACACAGTAATATGGCAGAAGTTGTTTGAGCACCTTTTATTCTGCAGAGCTGGATGCCTTGACTAGATCTTCTCCGAGCTGCTCTCATTTGTCACCTGAGCTGAGCTCAGTGTGTTCTCAGGCTTTTGCCCCCCTTCCCCTCAGAGGTCACTGCAGTTCCAGTGTGGGTACCCAGGAGCATCTCCACAACAAAGCTTTTAAAGCCCTTGGGTACCGGGGTGAACCTGGGTCTTGAGCTTGGTGCCGAGTACCACTGCGTGAAAGAACTATCACAGGAGAGAACAACAGGATATGAGATTATTGTTTGATTTCAACCAGAAGGACTTAGTCATTCATACAGATTTTGTTATTGTAGCCTTCCATTCTGGTTTGGCAATTCCCAAGCCCTCTGTATGTTCTAGATACTCCAAGTTCAGTGTGCAAATGTTCTGCTTTGGTACAGAAAGGAGTGTAAAGATACCTAAGGTAGTTTTGAGCTGTTGAGAAATAGGGTAAGTTATATCTATCCATACCCAGGTTTCTTGAGGTACTGTGTCTGTTACTGTGGCACTGCAGGTGGGTACAGGATTTGTCAACTTGGATTCTGAGCTGAGAAGTTGTGGTTGCTGACAAACTGGTGTTGCTTTAGCTCCTGGAGTTGATTTGTCATTAAGGAGGTATTCTGTGTCCGTTGTGACATCTTTTCTGTGAAAACTGGTTTAAACTGAAGAGAAAACCGAGTGAGCCAGCCATCCATCTGCTTGGCTGCTGGTGCCCGTGGGAATAACACGTTTTCCTCCATGGAACCGAGGTTTCAAATTAGGCATCAACTCTCACACTTAGGATTATTTCACAGCACTGGAAATGTGCTGAGGAAATGCAGTACCTTAAATGCACAGTGTTGGATTTGAGTCTTCCTTCTACTGTAGCAGTTGTGGTACTGGATATCGTTGCTATTGAGAGCATTTGACAAATTAAGAACTGCACTGCAACTCAAATAAATGCGAGAAGATGAATATGTCAGACTAATAGATGTATCTGATGAGATACTAGAAGAAAGTGTTGGATGATGACACAGAGATGGAGTGGCTTCCCCAGAACAGGTCATTCTTGTTG